AAGGGCCCTGGGAAGGGGCTGAGTCCCCCAGGCCCCTTTCTTTTTTTACCCCAAGGCCCCTTTATAATTAAACTCTAGCCTAATAGTTAGGGGAGCTGGCTGGATAGCCCAGTGGTTTAGGTCTCTTGCTGTGGAGCCAGAGGCTAAGAGTTCGATTCTCCCCCTGGACCTCCTTGTGAGTAAAGCTGACCTGTATGGCCCTGGGCAAGCTTCACACTCCCCAGGGCTACCCCTAGAAGAAGGGAAGGAGAGACCGATTCTGAGTACTCTGTACCTGGAAAACCCCTGGAAAGGGTCACCATAAGTTGACTTGATGACATGTGATTATTTTGAATAGGTAGTGGAGTTATTGACTGTTGAAAATTGTGTTACCTGGGAGGTCATCTGTAAAGGATGCCTAATTACAGGGGCTTTTCAGCCGGCGGGATGTAATCTAATGCCCGCTCAGCAGAATGCCGTGGCCAACTGGCCACCTTGCCCATCCTTAGAGCCAGCTCTGCATTTAAGATTGTAGCTTTGTGTTTTTGCTTGGAGATTAATTCATCCCTTAGTTGCCTTTCTCTCTCTGTGTGTGTCTCTTTCTCTCTCTCTTTCTCTCTCTAAACCAAGTGTTTTAGGGCTAGAATTGGGTGCTATCATACAATTAAACTGCAAGTAAGAGGGAGACGCTCCATTGTGTTGCTGTTGTGGCATTGTGCTGATGTTTGCCACGGTGGTGGCAGAAAATGGACAGCTAGGGCTATGGAAATGGCCCCAGGAGCTGCATACAGGGCTATGGACTTGGTATTTCCCATGTCTTGAATGCTTCCCCTGACGATGTTTCAGAAGGAGGGCATTTCCCATCACTTCTACCCAGTCCCTTGAAATGGGATTGAACCCCATGGTTTCCCATAGGAGTTGGCCTCCTTGGTTCCTTTCTCAATTCTCCCTCATTATCCAAGCTTCAAGGATCCGTCCATCCATCCATCCATCCATCTCCTCCTCCTTTGCATTTGGTAGCTCTCAACCCTAGCACGTTACTAGTCCTCAGGAAATGTCTGCACTTTATCCACTCCCTCCCTCCCTCCCTCCCTCCTCCTTCGCATTTGGTAGCTCTAAGGCTCAACCCTAGCACGTTACTAGTCCTCATGAAATGTCTGCACTTTATCCGTTGCAGGAGATGGCCATGCACTTGTTGACCGTCTTTGCAAGCTACTACATCAGGCTCCTGGTCCTCGGTCAGCTCCCGAAGGTCCCGGCCAGGCGGCATACGGACCTCGGCCATATCCCCTGCCTGTGCCAGTTTATTGAGACCCATGTGTTGGGAAAGAGATCTTTACTAGTCCTCATGAAATGTCTGCACTTTATCCGTTGCAGGAGATGGCCATGCACTTGTTGACCGTCTTTGCAAGCTACTACATCAGGCTCCTGGTCCTCGGTCAGCTCCCGAAGGTCCCGGCCAGGCGGCATACGGACCTCGGCCATATCCCCTGCCTGTGCCAGTTTATTGAGACCCATGTGTTGGGAAAGAGATCTTGAAGGGACAAGCCTGTGTTGCTTTTATCCCNTACGTGCTGAAGGCTAGCCGGTGCTGGATAGAGCATCAGAAGAAGCTGCAACTGGGAGAAACCCATGAAGGACAAGCCTATTTCCCATAAAGGTGTTGCCTCCAGGAAATGTTCAAGATAAAGGCTGGGCTTCCTTTTAAGGAGCCGCTTGTCTTAAGACACCAGGCTGATGCTCGGCAGCTGGAATGTGACCAACGCAATCCCACTCCTCCTACCCAAGATGGGGCTTCTTGGGTAGACGGGATGTCTACCAAAGCAGGGGCTTTCCAGACCTGGGTCCCTCTACGTTTGTCCCTGAAAGGAATGACTACATCTGAGCCCTTGTGGGAACGAATGGAGAGCATTATCTCATGGGTATGATGCATGAGAACCTGGCCTTTTGATAAACTTGAACTGAGGACAAGAGAGAGAGAGAGAGAGAGAAGCTCCTAGAATGAAAAAACATTGTCTCGGTGGAAAAGAATGTTGATTCTTTTTTTAAATTTATTTTTGGGGTGGAAGGTGGAGAGAGGTGTTTGGAGAAGCTGGTGTCCTCTCACCTGTCGCGAAAGACAACCGACAATTGAGCATTTCGGCTGAAGGAATGCAGTGCGTTCCCACTCTAAGACTTTGTAATTTCAACATTGGTCTCCATCAGTGTCACAGCTAAGGGCGGGAGGGTGGGTAGGAGTCAGACTCCTTCGTCTCCTTCCGAAAGAGGAGTTTGCAAAGTTGTCTTCATGGCCACCTGTGATGATGCAAAGATGGAGCGACAGTGTGGTCTTCTCAAAGGGAAGGATCCTCCTTCCAGAAGGGCTGGGCTCCGTGCAGTGTCTTATCTTCATGTTCTCACGGGCTCCTCTCTGAAAGAAAAGCTATGGGTGGGAGGGGGTCTCCTTGGGATGAACCTTGGTTGGCTTGTCTTCTCCTGCCAGACTTCGTCCTCACTTTGACAACAGCACCCGAAGCAAGCCCCCATTCTGGCTGCCGCCTGGACCCCGGAGCTAGAGAGAACGAGAAAGCCATCAGCTAGACCTTGAGTCCATGTTTCACACGGGCCCGTTCCCAATGAAAGTAACAAAACCTCCACAGGACACATACAAGAAGAGGGGGAAAGTACATTTGACCCAGTTGAGCTAACCAAAGGAGAGCCCACATAAATAACAGAGTTGTGGAGTCGAAAGGGACACCAAAGGCCACCTCAGTGAACCCGATGCTATTCCAAGACTTTTCCTGGAAAGGGATTTCTGTGTGATTTCTGGGTGATCCCTGTTCAGGGAGCTCTAAATGGGGAGAATCCACCACCTTCCAGGGCGATCTGTCCCATTCTCTGACAGGTCTCACACTCAGGGTGTTCTGCCTAATGTTTAGTCACAGTCTCCTTTCTCAGAATCCCTTGATTTGGATTCTACCCTTTGGGTCAATAGAAACCAAGTTTGTGCCATATTTCCTGTGATAGTTCTTGTTGTATCTTAGGATGGCCATCGTGTGGTCTCAGTTTTCTTTTCTCCAGGCTAGACACATCTAGGTCCCTCAACTGCTCCTCAGACGGTTGGTTTGCAGACCCTTTACTATCTTGACAACTTTCCTCTGGACACATGATAGCAAAAATGCAGTGTCCAGAAACCTGACAAGCTGTTCCAGGTAAGGTCTGACCAAAGCATAATAGAGTGGTATTATCTAGGGACGTGGTGGCGCTGCGGGTTAAACCCCAGAAGCCTCTGTGCTGCAAGGTCAGAAGACCAGCAGTCGTAAGATCGAATCCACACAACGGAGGGAGCTCCCGTCGCTCGTCCCAGCTCCTGCCAACCTAGCAGTTCGAAAGCATGTAAAAATACGAGTAGATAAATAGGTACCACCTCAGTGGGAAGGTCACAGCGGTCCATGTGTAGTCGCGCTGGCCACGTGACCGCGGAAAACTGTCTTCAGACAAAGGCTGGCTCTACGGCTTGGAAACAGGGATGAGCACCATGCCCTAGAGTTGGACACGACTGGACTAAATGTCAAGGGGAACCTTTACCTATTTAGGGATTGGATTTTTGATTTTTTTTAAACTACAGATTCCATAATTCAAGGGGTTCTACCTGATTTACAGACACTTCACAGACACCTAAGTGGAAGAAAAGGTCTTGAACCGTGGAAGGCTTTGAGGCCAAGCCCCTGAAAGGCTAAATCTTTCAGCTTTAGTCTTTTCTCCCAGGTGAGTCATGCTTAAATGTCTGGAAGATGTGTGTAAGTGGAGTAGAACACTCAAAAGGGGAATTTACAGGACTTGTAGCCCAAGAGACCCCAAAAATCCCATCTCTAAGATTATATGTACAACAACTCAAGGGAAAAAGAGCCCCCAGTAGCACATGAAACCTTGTCTGATTAATAGTGCATTACTAATCTCTGAATGTCTGGTCATCTAACCATAAGGGGGTGAATAAAAATACAAAATCTGATATCATTTTAATTATGTATTAATGAATAGGAATTCCACAGATCCCTATCTCAATGTAGACATACCGTTCCCAAGCCCAGTATTAAAAACTCTGCATTAAAGAGACTTTTTAAAAATATTCATATTCAAATGGCTTTTTTGGGTAGATTCTTGTTTTCTGTCCTGATTCCTGGGGCATGTCAGAGTAATAAATTTACCCACGGATCATGGCAGAAAGGTTAGGTTTCAGATCATATCTGTCTCCTTAGAGCAGGGTCTAAGTGGGAAGCCCCATGGGGCATTTACCCCCTCCTTATGGGTAAAAGGGCCGAGACACACACTTAAAATCAAAACGATATAGTAAACGATGTCACAGTAATTTCCTGCCCCCGCCCACCCCTTTTCTCCCCTCCATTCCGGGGAAGGGGAGAAACGTAAGAACGATGGCCATTATGTAGTGGAATATGAGGCAATAGTGGGTACTGAAATGTTGTGGAGAAGCAGTGGAGGTGGACTTCCAGAACGACCACCAAGAGGATGTGTCGGGCTATTTCTGATCTCCCCCATCAGTTAATAATAATAATAAGCTTAGAACTGCAGAGCTGGAAAGGGATCCTAGCATCACCGCAAAATTGCCTTTGAAATCAGACATTTCCCCTCCTTTAGGTAACCAAGTTTGTTCACTTACCTTGCTAATATAACTCAGACCATATTTCTGGGGGCTTCAGGATGCCCCACCTCTCTCCTCTCTATTTCTCTCTCCTCCTTGGCCAGGAGGAAAAAGGATTGTTTCCTGATGTCAATTACCTTTTTCTTCTGCCAACCCAGCCCACCATCACCTTTTAAGAGGTTGCCTCGGTAACATCACCTGGTGAAACAGGATGGGCTTCTTTGTGACCCAAGCCACTCCATTGTTGACTTAAGGTTTGACAAAGGAGGAGGGGGGAGGAGGGGGAAGTTTTCCACACCTCTGTGGGGCAATCCAACCTTGTATGAATCTCCTGGGTGAAAAAAAAACTGTTAAATGGAACGTAAGGTGGAGCGGCTTTTGGATTTCCTAAAGAACAGCAGATATCAAAGAGCAGATGACAAAACCCTAGGCTTAGGGGATGATGGATGCCCACAAGGACACTAATAGATTGTGCTGACAGCAGGATTTGGTATTTCGAAAGCCACACTGTTTGAAAAACGGCCTCCGGCTGTTGCTTTGTGTTTGGGTGATGAGTGGTGAACTGATGAAAAA